TTTGTGTGTGTGTGTGTGTGTGGGTAGGTGGGTGGGTGGGTGTGTGAACAAAAATATGCAACGGACTCATGAGTAAATGAGTGCATTCAACACTAACAACAATTTATTTAGTTGAAGGAAACTGAAAATTTTGTATTTCGCGAAGAACATGAGAAATTCGCAACGGTGAGTGTTGTGTAAATTCATTGCGGAACATTGCTTATCCAACTAAGGAACGTCGATTAAAAACTGATGAAACACGTTGTAAAAAACGTTTGAAACTGTTTACGTAGGCACTGTTGCGTCCTAAATATACATACGCACGTGATTAGTTGGTGGGCAGAAACTGCATATAATTGCATATAGTATTTTAAAACTGACGGCGCTGAGTTCAGATTTTTGCACTATATATTTATGAACTCTCATAAACTGATAAATTCTGACTATATCAAGAAGTTTAAACTAAAGTTGTTGATTTCTTATTATACCTTTAGACGTCTATAACAGCATCCATAAAAGCATAAATGTGGACCCATATTGATTCCTTTACATGCACGTGTGAACGTGGCGTATAACAACATTCTCGTTTACATCTAACTTTGGGTCAACGAGTTAATTTGAAGAATATTTTGTAATTATTTTAACTATTTTTCACTCAGTTCCAATTGTAATTACCCTGTTCATAAAGGACATAACCACCTTTAAAATCATCGTCGTCGTCGTCGTCATCATCGGCATTCCCTCTACCGACTTTTCAACCATCACTCACTACGTTCATCATAATCTCTAGTCATCACCTTTGTTATCATCGGCAAGATAATCACACTCCAACCATCATCATTGTCATCATCAGTATTGAGATGTGATCTATCAAAATTCTTAGCACGAAAACTCAAAATGTTCCTCCAAGTTAATGTCCTTTTAAACTTTTGAAAACTTTTCTTCCATTTCAATTTTTTAGATGAACAAATCATTTTCATTTAAAAAGAAACTATACATCGTTCAACAATTTATTGTTTTAAATTTTTACACAAACGCGGGTACCACATGTTTCCGATGTTAAAAACGTTGAATAAAAAAAATAAGGAGAACTAGAGAGCATGGAACGAAGTGAGATATTGAGGAATGTTGGATGAAGCATCAAGTCGGTAAACTAACATAAAAATGTAATACGCATACAATACGTGCTTCTGCATTTAATCGCAACGTTATGTCTGAAACCAATTATGCCTTTAAATGATTTCGATGATAACAAGCATGTAAGAGCGTGTTCAATAAATAAGAAGTTATTTATTGAAGCTTTTTTTGCAATCAGGCATTTGCATGTGTGTTGTTTGGTATACATTAAAACAACCACCTCCCTCAAATACGTCTGCACATCTACTCTGAAGTAGTAACTGGCAGTAATTGCTTAATTATTACTTACGTTCTCATCAGACAAACACCAGTTGAAAGTTTTCATAAACAGAATATTATGCTTTCGAAAAAAAAAACAAACGAAAAAATGTTGCTTGGGTTTTGTTCTTTGACAGGCAAAAGAACGAGACTGATGATTTGTGTTTATTTATATTTATGTATGAATTATGCCAGTGACGATGCTTTGCACATCTCTGAAAAATATCTCTCATATAACAATTAATTATTCCAAACAACACAACAAGCTCTTCGATTCGTTCTATTTATTTATTCATCATGTTTTTCACATATAACTCAAAGCATACTTCACAGACTAAATTAGGAATAGTTTCAAGATAAGTTTCATAAAAACGACTTTACAATAAATTCTCAGGTTTTGTTTTATTTTTTGCATATGAGTGACTCAGTTGCAAAACTGTATTACTTTTTTGTGATTTGCAATGCCTTGATTGTTGTTGGCTGTGTTGGGGATGACCTCTCAGCATCTATAAAGTGCTTTCATACGGCTTGCAAACTGATGTTGGGAATCAACCAGTTCTTACTCCTGGTCTCCACGTGGCGGGAACGGTAATACTAACAGGAGAGGGCGAAAGGCAAATAACCAGAGCCTTAAAACTGCTGTTCTGTTGGATCCGAGGTGAAAATGTCCGTCAGCGTCTTAACCAACCCATCCATGAGACAGTTAAACTCTGATTTTAAACCATAGTACCCTCAGATGTGCTATAGAGACAAATACACTACACTACAGTTCCGCCCAAACTGATGCGTCCACTTGGTTGGTCATCGCGTCTCAACCCGTTTTGTCTGATAAGGTCGACTTTGTGGAGAAGAACCGCATGCCTCACCCCGAACATCTTCCACTTTAAACAATTCATTGATGATAGTTGTTGTAAGGACAAAATCCTGCGGTGATTGAGGAGTGGCGACGGATACAAGTGGAGGATGCCAATGGAGGTGTTTAGCCACAAATCAGCGCGTAAGCAGTCTGTGAGATGTACATAGCTCATCCACTGAAAGCTACGGTAGTGTTCGGTGCCTGCTCCAGACGACAAAGTATTTATGGATGCACTGTTTTCTTCAGGAAAGGTTGTCCTAAACATTGCTAGCTCATCCGTATCCTGGCAGCCTGCGGTAAAAATTTTGAAATGAAAAAGCCAATTTCACAGGTGGCTTCTGGAAAGGCACCTGGTCTGGATGGTCTTCAGCACAGTTGTTCAATTACGGTAGACCGAACCTTAAAATCAAGATGGTGGCATTATTTTGTCAGATGTGTAAAAGACAGACAGTTCACCAGGATTTTAAAAATGCTCTCATTATCTATTTGTTTAAAAAAAAAGGCGATTGTTCGTGTTTTGATGACCATAGAGGGATTTTCCAGCTCTCAATTCCCGGCAAAATACTGATATAAGAACCGTCTGAAGAAAAACTTAAAGAAGTGTGGACTGGATCCAAAAACATTCTGCACTAAAGCTCAGCAGCGTACTGAATGGAGATCGAACTCACAGGCGCCTTTGAACAGGCACGAATTGCAACACTGGTTCACAAAAGGAAACGGAGGAAACAGGTGGCCCAGGATGGAAGCGTGTGGGTCTGTGAAATCTATGATTGTCGATGTTTGTCTAGAATTGGACTTTTTGCCCACATGAAGTCACATCAATGGCCCAGTTGTTCGTTCACGAAGATGCAGTCCATGATCTATACTAAATTATTTTACGCAATTTCCATTGGAAAAAGCAAAATAAACTAAAATTAAAATTTATTTTAAAAAATTGTTATGGCGTGTTTTTAATAGAAAAATAATTTAATTTATAAATTAACATCATGATAATTGGAGAGCAAATAGAAACCGAAAAAGTTCTTAAAACCCAATAGTAACCAATCAAAAGTTAAATAAACCTTTAACACTTCAGCGACATATGGACTTTAACTAATTAACGAAAACATTTTTTCAAATAAAGGCAAAAAAAATATCAAAAATTAGTAGCAAAATTTATTAAGAAAATGTGATAAATCGGCGTAGGAATAATCAATTTTTATTACTCTTTGAAAAAAAATCAAACTCTAGACAGGCGCTAAATCTATCACAACATGCTTAAAACGTTAGTATTAGAATAGTTGTACTAGAACAGGTATTATATAGTTGTATCAGGTATTAGAATAGTGGTTACAAAAGAAAAGAAAAATTGCGCCGCGAAAAGTGGAAATGAATGAAAGTTAACCTTGAACCGAAACTTGGAAGACGTCAGCTACATCGATCTGTCTCCTGCCGTCGCCAACTACCACACACGAGTACACACCCACATCATCGTCATCCACGTCCTCCAGCACCAACTCCGATCGAGAAGCACCCTCCACGTCGTTGTAGCGGTACCTCTCATCATCCCGCATGATCTCCCTCTCGTTCTTGAACCACTTTATTTGGTGGCCGACGTAAGGAAATAGATTCAACTTGCTTGACAACCTCAGTCTATTGAGAATTTGATAATAAGCGTTTGTCATTTGTGTTAAAAATTCGATCATTTTCAAATGAAACAAGGTGATTAACTCTATTTCAAAATTGGTGTTCGAACGAAAGCATGCATTTAAAAATGAAAACACTTACACTTCTCCTTTCCTGATGTTCACATTGCGAACTGGTTCCAAATGCTGTCCAAACAAATTTATTTTGTTGTCTCCACTTGGCACCTGGTTGATTACATTACAGACAATTTCTTCAAAATTTACTATTTTCAATTTAAATTTACTATTTACTAATACTAGAAACGCTATTTACAAAACAATATCAAAGTTCGTATTCATGGAAGAAATAGATTGTCCATTATAAGTTCACTAACTTTCTGATCGAGCGAGAAATTTTGACTCAGAACATCAAAATGAACTGCCCTTGCAACAAAAGTTTTCAATCCTTCGACGTTTTTCTTTAAATTATGCAGCTCATTTCTAAACTGGCTTGCTTGCTTGCTTTGTTGGAGACGATCTAGATTGTTTTGTATCCTGAAGAGTTGATCGTTGATGGCACCCATGTTCCGGGTTGATGGTGAGGAACCAGTCAACTGGTTGTTCAGATCCTCAATGTCCTCATTCAACTGCAAAGTTAAATTAGAAAAAGTAGACATCACCTGACGAATAAAATCGACCAATTCATTTCACAAAAATTTATAAATTTAAAACGAAATATTTTATAAAAAAAAAATAGTACATTGACAAAATTACTATAATGATCTGTTTTTATTTTTAATTAAACTTCATAGTTAAGCTAACCTTATTCAATTCCAACGAAAAGCTGTTTTCCATATTATTTTGACTCTTATCATTTATTGCTCTGGAATTAAACTCATTTTTGGCTCTTCGTCTTTCAAAAAATTCACTTTTCAGTTGTTCCTTTTTAGCCTTCCAATCATTGAATGATTGGACGACGAAGTTTATTGATGGGTTGCAGTCGAAATTACTATCTTCCTTCAACTGCGTGCAAACAATTCAACGTGTCATTCAAATAAACTAAAGATATGCAGACAAACAGATGATGTCTTTACTAAGAAGAAATTAATTGAAAATTTTTTTTATAATATAAAAAAATTATTTCTAAAAATAACACAGTTGAAACGCCCCAAGAGATATTGCATGATATGTAGTGCAAGAATAATAATAAATTTCAGATAATAAAGAACTAAAAAACTAACTTTGTGGTGGTCAGCCCAGTTGAAAACGAGTTGTGCATGCCTCGCTAACTTACCTTCATATTCATCAAGTGATTTAATTAAACTCACATCTTTTTCGAACATGGCGTTGTCTTGGATCGAGCCAGTAGTCTGCTGTTTGCCGTTGCCTTCCATGAGGGAAACAAAACTGGATGCCTTGAAATGAATAATGTTGACGTTATTATCAGCCTAATTGATTTTTTTATTAGGGAATCATCACAATTACGACCTGATTTTTCATCCTAAGCGCTATGTTCGTTGCTTGGTTAATTGTTGTTCGTTTGCATCATATGTATTAGTCAACAACTTAAATTCCAATTTTGTTGTCAACAACTTAAATTCCAATTTTGTTAAACTTATTGAAACTACTTAAAAATAAAAAATGACAATGAAAAAGCGGAGATCCGACCTTTTGAAGTAGCAGCAAATATTCGGCAAACGAGGATGCAAACTGAATTCTGTTTGCGACGAGTCCTTTCACGAACCTCACTTGCTGCAACAACACCTGATCTACTTGTTGGACCTGCTTGTTCCTGGGACACCTCATCAAATCGTCCTCATTGGTCTGCTCAGTTCATTTCGTTTTGTTTGTATACGTTTTAAAAATTATTTCAAACGTAATAAAATATTTATAAAAAGTTGGATGGTGCAGCAATCTTGCGGGAAACTTCCTACAAACAATTTCTCGATTATTTATCAAATCAAAAGCAATCACAGAAATGTTACAAAACTGATGAAATTAATTACCACAGTAAAAACGATAACGGTGATAATAAGGTTGGTGACAATATTGATAATGATGATGACCTCAATATCCCTAAGTAGTTTACGATGGCGATTGGAGAAGAATTCGGCAGATTCTTGCGTCTGACCAATGATATTGCAGGTTGAAAGTTCATTCATCACGTGACCCCCTAACCAGCTTCTTAATTGGTTCTTTTGAAAAATTTTGATTAAATATGATTAATATTACAAGCTGCCAAATTAATTTTATCAAATAACAAAAGACTGATTAAGAAAGGCTAGATCACCTCAACATATTTATACTCATTGAAGGAATCGTCCCGCAACTGGCTGCCACCCTTGCCGGTGCCATCACTGCCAGCATAATAATTCATGTTGTTGTAGTTGTTCACGTTTTTGTTCATGTTGTTGTTCACGTTGTTGTTCATGTTGTTGTTCACGTTGTTTTTCATCATGTTTTTCATCCCGATGTGAGCAACGTTTTGTTGTGATGGAATTTTACTTGAGCCTTGCCGGGATTGGCTCAACGGTTGTGGTCCTGGAAAATTAATTTTGAAAAATTTGTTTCAAAATTTATTATATTTTTCAGTAACTCGGTATATACGCTACAGCGCTTGCTATATAAAATAGACAAATAACTTCAACGAACATGCAACATTTATCTATATCTAGAAGGAAAAAGTTTCAAACAATGGCAGGAAGTTACCAAAATAATTTCAACATTTAAGTAAATGGTTTAATCTTTATTGAAGTCAATCGGCGACAGCAAGCAACCTCTGATGGTGGAATTCTGTTGGACATCCTCGCTCACCATGCCGTCAATGTCCCAGCGACCTGCCAACTCGGTCATCCTCTCATCCATCTTCCTTAATCTTTCTCTCACTCGCTCAATCATTTCGGAATCTTCAAATTTTATTTTCTTCTCATCTCTGCGTAAGATTTTTATTTTATTTTTATAAATATATTTAATTTTTAAAATTTTTAACGATTGAGATTAAAACAAGCGCAAATTTGTTGAACAATTTTTTTTAATTTGTTTAATGAAACCCAAACACAAATTGACATGAAAAAAGTAATGGTAGTGTTAGATTTTTATTGCAATTCAACGAAACTGATCATTGCAACCATTATAGCACTAAAATCTTATAAACTTGAAAAAATATGAATGTTGAAAACGTTTAAACTTTCAGGGCGCAGTTAAACAAGAAAGAGAACCATTAATCAACGAAATTTAAAAAATTGTAAAACAAATAGAAAAAAGTCAAATGAATAAATAGGAAAGCAAAAAGAACGCATTGCACAGATAATAATTAACATTAAAAAGCAATATGAACAAGCAATAGAAACGTGTGAGAAGAGCAAGCAACAAGCATTTTTCACACGAACTGCACGCAACAAATAACTCAACCCCTGTCCAACAAGAAGCGGTTTTTGAAATCGTTGGTGCAGATGTTGTCCTTCTTCTCGCAACTGCTTGTGACTATTCTCCAACACTCTCCTACGTTTCAGAAAGTCCTTTAGTACTTCTTTGTTACTGTCATTTGCCGTTGTTAGGGGCGGTCGTGGTACGCTGATCGTTGAGGTTTTGTTCATTATCAGTTTGTTCAGCAGCTGGTCAGTAGCTGTTAAGAACTGTTAAGGAATAATATCACGTCGTGAATGCAACCCGATATCATAAAGTAAAATAAAACTTTTTTATCTGTAATTAATACCCTGACGCTTAAAATATAAAAATAATGAAACAAAAAAAAAATTTTATAACAGTTCAAAAGATCAAAGATCAAAAGATCAATCAAACAATGATGAGGACGGTCATTAGAAGGACGAAGGTAGTTGTGATGGTGAATTCTATACGATGAAGTTGCTGTAAGGTACTTATGAAAGCAATGGTCACCTGATTGGACTTGAGATCAAAAATGGCCAAATCATTCCTCCTTGCAGCTCTTTCGCTGACGCCCTTCTTGAACGTCATCCACACGTCGTGCAGTCTGTCGGCCTGGTCCAGGTTCACTTCCGTGTCCTCCTGCATGGACCTCCTCAGGTACAAGGCAGCCTGCAGGTTCTTCTGGCCATATTCATAACTATCCTGGAGTTGGTGTTTAAAAAGTCGTTTCGTGAAAACATGATCTTAATTATAAGTTTCGTTTCAATAAGTTTATTGCATGAACCAAGTTACAAACTTCAACAATTAATTTCGGATTACATGAAATGATAGATAGGAAGAAATAAAATGCAACAAACAAGTGCTGTTTTCTCTCCCTTGTTCAGTTTCTCTTTGGTTTCTTCGAGTTGCTGGAGTGTCGGCAGTCTATTGATTGACAGTTGGCTGGTTGGCGGTTGATTGAAGGCGAGTGATTGACTTTCAACTTCAGAGTTCAAAATGTCATTCAGCTCCTGGATCCACACGATTGCCTTGAATGATGTTAAACTGCAATTAGTAAGTTACCACAATGGCATGTTAATTTCTTAATTTTAAAAAATAAAGCCCAGCAAAACTTAACAAGAAAATTAATACATAATAAACATTTCCTACTTGTTCAACATTATCCTCACAAACTTTCAACTGCAGCATTTGTTTGAGTTGTAATTTTCTGAAATTGATGTCGTTTCTGTTGTTGCTGAGTTCCTGGTTGATTTGTTGCAAACAACTTTCAACGTATCGAACGTCATCTACCCTGTTAATATTTTGGATCGGTTGGAGGTGGGGTGGTGGGTTCGACAGCTCACCTACCAGGGTCACACCCTCCCTTTCTGCCATCATCAACTTCAAGTCTGAAAACAAAATGTGCTAACCATTTCGTAAACTATTTATTAACGTAAAGTAACACTCAACTGATGTGATGTATTAGAACATATCAGCCGTAAATTTAGATGAAAAAAAATGAAAAGATTTAAAAGTTAAATATTATTAACTTTTTATAAGTTTAATAACCCGAAAAAAGACAATAAAAATTTAATTTAAAAAAAATATTTTCATTGAAATTTTCAACAATCTGACGAAGATTTGTGAAAATATTAGACATTTTAAGAAATGAATCAAAAAGGCTCTTAAAATCATGAAGCTAATAAACATTGGATCACAACCAACCAACCCATTTGGTCAACTTTGTTGTTGAATTGATCGACGATTTGCTCCAATTCATTGTGAGTTATATCTCTATTCATCAGCAACAGCAGATCATTCAGTGTCAAGAGGATCTATAAAAAGTTCATCAAGAAAACATTGTGGAATACTACATCATATTAAACTTGAATAGCAATTAGAAACTCATTAACGGAATGTAAAGTATAAGGTAGCAACCTCCTTGATGAGTTTGTAAAACCTCACTGAAGACACCACTAGATTTCTTCTCGTTTCCAACCTGCTGGCAAAATCCTTGCACACCTTGTCCATGCGATCCTTCAGAGCAAGTAGTTCCGTCAGGTCATTGTTCATGTTGTTGGTGCTGGTGTTGGTGTTGTTGTTGTTGGTGTTGGCAACGTATTCTTCAACTTTGTGTCTCAACTCTGCATATCTACCATAGGAGTCCTAGATAGAAATTAAACTATTTAATTTTATTTTAGATAATTCATAACACGCGTGGAGTTGGAGTTGAATTAAATTTTGGAAAATGCTGTTTTCATTAATATTAAAGTATTATTTCAGTGAACAATTTTCATAACGATCAAGCGAATTTATTAAATTAAAAAATTCAAGACATGCTCATCAAAATACATGCATCTTCGACTTTGTAACAAATTGGATTTGGTTGAACAATGAAATTATCCAAAAACAAAAAAAAATGATACAAACAAACATAAAAGCATACATACAAGCAAACATACAAACATACAAAAACAAATAGATATTCAAACAAGACACAGGCAGACAAACAAGCAAAACTAACAAGACACTTCAATTCAAGTTGTTCCTGATGTCTCCTAAGCTGGTCAGCTTCTTCCAACGACCTGCCGATGGACGTGTTGGACATCAACAACTTCTCACCTGGACCCAGTATCCAATCAATCACCTGTATTGCAAACAGAGCACGTGTTCATTTATAAATACCAATCGACGTCATATCATAGATATCATTCAATTAATAAATTGTAAATAGTAAATAATTAATAAATAAATAAATTAGTTTATAAATAAATTAAATGAAATTAATCCTGATAACAAATAACAATTAATCCTGACAACAATATATCATTAAAACACAATTCAATCGATACCCATACAAAACAAAGATATCGACAACAACAACAGCAACTAACAGTTTTAATGTTGGATTGAAGTTCATAATAATCAGACCTCCTCCTCTCCTCGCCCTCCTTGAACCTCCATACGCCTTCCAACCTGTTCAGCTTCTCCTCCAGACTCTTCACCACTGTTCATCAACGTTATTTAAATTTAATTATTCATTATTCGCCCTCCATTTATTGTTTGTCCAATTATTATTTCACGGTCACATATTGGAGACTATTCATTAATATCGTTTAACTGTTTCTAAAAAAAAGTTTAATTAATGACAACGACTTTAATTCAATTAAAAATAATTCAATTAATTAATTAACTTAATTAAATAATTAACTTAATTATTTTTAATTAATTTTTAATTTTTAAATTAATTTATTAACTGATTGTTTGTTACTCGTGAATTGAGTAAGACCACTTGAACTCCAACTAAACTTCATGATAAATACGAACGCGAAAAATCCATTCTTTGAAAAAACTTAAAATTATATTTAAAGACATTGAGAATTACAAGGAGGATGAATGAATGAATAAGCAAAAAAACAAAAATCCAACAGACAAACAAACAAATAAACAAACAAACGTAGAAACAGACACTAACACAAACGCAAACAGACTGAGAGACAAACAAACAGGCGAACAAACAAACAAGCGGACAAATAAACAGACAGACAGACATCTATTTGTCCTATCTTTGATGATGAACTCATCTTCCGTCGGCGTATGGCGGCCTTTCATGAAATCAATTCCTTGAAATATTCATTCATTAAAGAAATAATTCAAATTTGTGTTCTCGAGTTGCTAAAATTAACATTTCCTCACTCTGTTTTAGTTCTCTAAGATGACATTACAAGATAAAAGGCGAAGAGTTGATTTAAAAGATTGATAGCACGTAGGAATGAAACAAACGAGAAGTTGAGAATAAAATAATTTTGAACCTTTTGCAATGAGTGCCAGGCAGTTATTCCTCACAACTTCATAATCATTCCAAAGTGCTTGCAGGTCAAGGTAATGAGATGATGATGATGATGAAAGCTGTTGAGATGGCCGTTGGAATGATGTGGACTGGAGAATTACGTTGGTGGCCCCCTTTGTGAACTGATCCATCTCCAGCAACATGTTCTTCATTTCTTTGTTGTACGATTCTATAAACTTTGTTTCAAATAAATTAAATTAATTTAAATTATCAAATATGTTTTCAATGGCTGATATAAGCATCCTTGTAAAAATAAAATTCTTGTAAAAATTAGCCATGCTTTTAAACAGTATTAAAAACCAATATAATTTTAAATCATGATTTCATTTGAATATTTCCAACATCGTTAACTATTAATATTTTCAAAGAACATACTTCCACCAAAACATTAAACGTTTCAACATTTAAACACTTCATCATATGGTGCCCACCAACCAAAACAACAAAATAACCTAACCACCAATCAATCGACCAAAACAACCAAACCACCAACCAACTAACCAAACAAACAACCAACCAATCAAACAGCCAACCAACCAACTAATCAACCAAACAACCAAACCACCAATCAAATAACCAACCAACCAAAAAACCAACTAACCATAGCAAAACAAACAACAAACCATTCTAGAAGCCATCCAATCTTCATGGTCGTACTTGAAAGAGCCAGCAACGGAGACGGGCAGCTGATTGTGTGCCACGTACGTTCGCAACTGCATTGACGTCACGACCCTGACCTGCATAAACGACGTTCAATCTCATTATACGCAAATAAACATAAATAACCAGAGCCGTTCTCAAACTTATATCACAATTTAATTTAAACGGAAAATTGTAAATTTTTTTTCAAATGGTCAATTGTTGTAAAGAAATAAAAGTGTCTACATAGTTATAAAGTTACATAACAAATTGTTGTCAGCAATCACTTCATATAGATTAGTAGATCTTGAAATTATGCTACAAAACAGATTCCACTAATTTTCAAATGTTGAACTCATGAAAACACATTACAAGATTTGTTCAGACCATGAGTGAGCAAGTGATAACTTTAATTCTCGTTAGATTAATGTACAACAGTAATGTTAAAGTAATTAATTCAAACCAATTAAATTAATCAAAGAATGTAAAGAATTTCAAAGTTCTGTAACCTTAGCTGGTGTTATTTGAGGATCGATGTTGAACTGTTTCTTAACTAAATCATCAACCACATAGACTTCTGATAGAGCACTGCCGTATGCTTTCTGCCAAACCATCGGTGCCAACGTTATTTCATTTTGATTATTATACAAACTCAAACACGCACACAATCGGAAATAAAAACAAAAAAACTTTAGGGCTCGTGATAAAATGAAACTTCAAAACATTTAAAAATTTAAAAAAGTTTGTAAAAAAAAGCAGCAAACATATTTATGTAAATGAAGAGCAATGAGAAAATTATTGAGCTTATGAACGTGATATGATGGGACACATTCTTCAAGCAAGTCTCATTCATCAAATACACATATTTTAATTAACTAAATTTAATAAATTAATTAATTATCTAGTTAATATATAATAACTGTCACACTGGAAATAACATTAAAAACATCCACAACCTGTTACAAACCATCTGACCAAAAAATGTGTTAAAATCAAAACTTTTAAATAAGAAAGTTCTGAAACATTTTAAAAGTTTGATTAATGAAATGATAGTAACCTGACAGCAGAGAAGTACAAAGTTTAGAAGATTGTTGTACAAATTTGTCTTGTTGTCTATGATGATTGTGAATCCCCTTTTGGCTGAAACCTCCCTTGAAAAATCAATTTATAACAATTCATGCGAAAAGAAACTTTCAAAGTTAAATTACCCTATATAAGTCATAAACTAAAAACTAAAAAATGAAAAAATTCAACTTAATTAAATGATCAGACCATATAAAAATTACAAAGAACAAAGGATTAGACAGTATATAAATGAATGATTAAACCACATATAAATTACAAGGAACATACGAAGGAATGCTGCCAAGATACTTGAGACACGTGATGACATCCTGTTCGGATGTCTTTCCTACACCACTACTACTCGGAAACAATATCAAAGGACCCTGCTTCTCAGACTTGCCTCCTAAACACAATGTTCAATACTGATGCTAACTTCTTGTTCAAATTCATTTTAACAACTCTGATTACATAAATATCAATATAAAAAATCAAAAATACTCTGCTGCTCAAAATTGATTTAAGTTGCAGACTACATAGAACATTAATCAATTAGCAATAGATATTACCATAAAATATAAATACATTGAAAAAGTTAAACAAAATTATAAACTACCAGTAAGGTAAGCAATCTTTAATTTGAGCAGATCATATATCTGGCTGGCCTCTACTGTGTTTCCTAAGGATATTTATATTTTGTATTATAATTAGTTACCCAAACCCCAAAAAAATTAACATTAGAATAGGTCTTAGCCTACAATTATGCTCATAAAACAAATCTCTTATAAATGTAAATAGTATAACATTAACAACTAACCAAATCTCCTTTCAAAAAGCTGATACTCTGTTAATGATGTTAACTCTGAATATCTAGAATTTGACATGTTTCAGTTTGGCTCTTTGATTTGAAAACACGTTAGGTTTTAATCTGGTTTAGTATTAATAAGAGCAACTATTTTCTGTGATTTCATTAGAATAACAATGAAATGCATATACTAGAATATAATTAAAGTAGCATAGTCTTAGTCTAATGTAAAATGTTACTATATTATATTTATATTAAATTCCATGTCCAATCAACAATTAATATTGATTATTAAAATAAAATGATATGGAGTGGACATTATTTCTTATTTTATTGTTGATTAAAATTGAATAGCTAAAATAAAACATATAACATAATTAAAGCTTACTAAATTAATAAGCAAATAAATTATATAATTTAATATTAATCAGTTAAAAAAACATTTTTAAACTGATTTATTTATTAGTTTAGTTTTAGTTAGTTTAGTTTAATTTAGTTTAGATTAGAATTTAGATTGTAGCTTTAGCTTTTTTTTTAGCTTTAGTAGTTTTAGTTAGAAGTGGAATCACATCATAATCATTCTGCCACTAAACTGCAACCAGCAAGAAAGCTATTTAAAATAAAAAATGAACTAATTATAAAAATATATAAAATAAACCAATAATAATAAATAAATAACTGAAAAGAAACTCACAATTAAAATTTAAATTAAAATTAATAAAAATCTCTCTAAAATCTCGTAATTACTTAATTAATTCTTTAAACCTTACAAAACATTAATAATAACGCGTACATAATTATTAATTTTATAAATTTAACTTATTAAACATAATGGGCGATATTTATTTAAAATTGAATACAGCAAAACTCCTCGAACACTTTGAATGGAGCTGAAAAACTTGTGTGCTGTATATAATGCATTGAAAAATTCAATGAAAACACAGGGAAACAGTGATGGCAATGTTAATTAATCTCACATCATGTTGATGCTAACGTATTGAATTTCATCGTGTAACAAACATGCATACGCAATCTGTAAAGTCTGTAAATTCAATCACATTTGTCTGTCAAATGATGGTATTTATCGTAAATTCGCCTCTCTAGTTGACAGACCACTGTTGAAAGTTGCTGGCTTTTTGCTTTATGCGTCTTTTTGACGAAAGTTTTATGCAAAAATGTATATTCATTCAGAAATGTGTTAATGAAATGGAAATTTATAGTGTGGATCGTTTGTTGTTCAAAATCATCTGTAGTCTCTCTGCCTACACTATTTGATGTTCAACGCGTGGAAATAACTTTTGAAACAATTTCTACATCTTTATTCGTTTTTATTTCAATCGAATCATAAGTTTTATTTTCATTTACAAAATCGTTCAATAAATAGGTTGCGTAGAATCATTTCAATTTTTGAGCTCACATATACCAACACTACGCGACAGTTAAGAATGCGTCGTACGCATATATATTAACTAAGAACATGTTAAATGTTGTATAAAATCGACATGACAGTTTATCAAGTCTCTGTCTCCAGAATAAATTAAGCTTTTAATAATTTTCAGTCGTCATCAAAATATGTTTATTTTCTCACAGTTGCTTAATAATTGTTGGCTTTTTGAATAAAAATCTACTTAAAAATGACCTACCTGAAAAAAATTGTTGTTTTCAGAATGGCATCGGAGAGGTGGAAAGATGTTCAATTCATATGGTTCTATCGACGGGTTACTGAAAGAGCAAAACATGCCATGCCACCGAACATTAGTGTATACTCGCAGACGATGCCAAGATCTATAAAGTTATATGTAGTAATCAAGACAGAGATGATTTACAGCACAACCTCAATGATGCTTTTAGTTGGTTCGAAAAATGGAAATTGAAAGTTAATATTGATAAATGTCACCTATTGTCTGTGGGTAGGCAAGCTGTTGGGGCAAATTATTTATTTGATTCTCGGGGTGCGGTTCACGTGATTTCCGGTGAGGAGACGGTGTCTGACTTAGTGTTATTGTTGATTCCAAACTCCAGTTCAAAACTCATATACTGAATAGAGTGAAAAAAAGCTAATTCTATGCTTGGGATAATAGCCAAAAATTTTAAGAACTTATCAGATAGTGCTTTCCTCTGCCTTTATAAATCTCTGGTACGCTCACAGTTGGAGTTCAGTGTCCAAGTTTGGTATCTATACAGATTGGGTCTAGCAAGAGAAATAGAGAGAGTACAAAAAAGAGCAACAAAAATATTAAAATCATGCTATTCTCTGGAATACGATGAAAGATTAAAAAAATTGAACCTTCCTTCATTGTCTTACCGAAAAGTTAGAGGAGACCTAATTTTAGCTTATCAAATACTCCACGATTTGATCGATCCTGACATCTGCCCATCACTGCTGAGGAACAACGTCGCTTTCACCAGAGGGCATATTCATAAATTAAGTTCATGTATGGCCAGAAAAGATTGCAGAAAATATTACTTTTCAAATCGAGTGGTTAAACCATGGAACGAGTTACCGGAAGAAGTGGTGAACGCGCCTTCTGTAAATGCCTTCAAAGTGTTGTTAGATTCTTACTATGGTGACAGAATGTTTGACATAGTTTGATTTTGTTGAATTTTAATTTATCATTTGAACTATTTTTCGTTTTAAATTTGAATAATTTTTCACAGATTTGAATTTTTATGCTTATTTGAATGTCTTTTGTTATTAATTTAATTTGAACGGTTTTTATTAGATTAGGACTTTATCAATTTAAGTTTGAACTTTGCTATGATGATTCTGAATTATTCGAGGCTACGATCATTTTAACTGTTGGCAAGGGGAGTGAAGTGTCGTAAACAACCGATCAAAGAAGTTTATGCAGTAGGTACCATGTAAGCAGCATTCGACATTTCCAGCAAAAAACAAACACGCAAAGAAAGACAAACATAATTATGCATCAGCATACACCCGGTTATATGCTGAGCAGAATTTTACACACATTTAAACAAAATTTTCCTTTGCCTAAGTCTTTCGATTGTGCGTGATTAGAACTGACTACATTCCATAAATGAAACGTAGGACACATTTATTTATTTGTATATTCGTTTAATCAAATCATTATTTTTTAAACATGATAGCAGACAGATTTTTAAAATAAGCATTAATCTTGCTTAATCTAGTATTGTTGACGACATCCGGTTAAGTGAAAGGTCGGTGAAGCTAAGTTTGCAATTGTACGTCACTCCTAAATCTTATACACTTACGTTATTTGTTATTCCAAAATAGGGAAATCGCGAAAACAAGGTAATCAGGACGAGTTGTTACTGGAGGATATTTGCCGATGTTCAATAGAGAGCATTTATCTACTCCGCTGTCTTGTTCTTATCAAGCCAATCAACAAATCTATTAAGATTGACTGCAGATACTGTCTGCCATCGAGAATGGCTATCAGCAAAAAACGACTTGGCATCGTTCGCAGAAAACCGCTTGAATTGTTCGTTCATACATGCCAAGGATAGAAAAAGTGGTCGCATGGTTGACGTGTCTTTCGTCGTGCACCACGAATCCATGCAAATCGATATACGTAGTTGTTGAATTTCGAGTTCGAATACGAATTACGAATTGATAGCAAACAAAAAGCATTTGGTCTTGTCACATTAATTCATTCTTTATATTTCTGTCGACAAACAAAATCGTCTTACCATCAACGAGCTTTAACATACATTCAAGGACATTTAAACATCTTTCGCTTAACATACATTCAAGAATATTTAAATTTTGTTAATTTCCTAAAAACAAGGTATCGCTTGATCAATTCTTTATTTACAAAAACAATTGCTGCAAAAGCACTATACCCAGTTGCCAAAAGTTAGTAGCGACGTTCGTTCAACTCAAAAAGTTAATACAATCTATGTTGACAAGTAGTGAGGACGTTATTCGTAATATCGGTATGTATAATAATGATGACAACAGTACAAATAAGAATAGCCAACAAGAATGACAATAATAATAATAAACAATAATAATAACAATAATAACAATATAACATCAATAAAAAAACTACACAAAAAAATATTATAATTGAAATAAATGATCCTTAAAAAATCCTAGCCGTTTATAAAAACATATTATATATATATATATATATATATATATATATATATATATATATATATGCGTGTGTGTGTGTCTGTGGTGTGTGTATACAGGTGAACATAAAAGTAAAAAATATTTTGAACTTAGACTATAAGAAAACATAAAATGAAACACGTGGACTTAAAAATATGAATTTTATCATAAAGATGACTTAGTATTAAAATGTACAAAATGATTCACTCATAAAACTGATTCACTGTCATGTCTCACATATATATAAGCATGCATAAAAGGGTCCACATACGAAATTGTGGGATGTGTAATATGTTACTGAACCTTAATGTGTTTGTGATTCGTCTAATATGCACTGAAATAAACTGCTATTTATTCAGCTGATTTTAGAGTTTATTTTCATACATGCCGCTCACATTCAAGCTAGAAGTATATCATTTTGTGTGTGTGTGTGTGTGTGTGTGAATGTCTATGCTGGAAATGTAATGTCTTGCCTGTTAAAGGAGCAATGTATGCGTTTATAGAACTAAATAAAAATGCAAATATGTATAGATAGGATAAAATTTTACCGCTTTCTAAACAATAAAATCATCATGATACAGCTGATTGAAACTAGCTTTTTGAAACCTTATTAGAGCTCTAACTTTTAAAACCAAACGTCAACAACTTTAATAAAACAAAAACTTAAACAAATAATAATGAGACGAAAGGAAAAGAATAACATCACGGTAAGAATTACCTAACGCTGGTGTCATTTATGATTTATATATATATATATATATAAATCCTAGCCGTTTATATAAACATATTATATATATATATATATATATATATATATATATATATATATATATTTACAATATTCTATAAATTCTACCGAATGTTCATATATATTAACATTCGGTAGAATTTATAGAATATTGTAAAAATTATAGTCTATTACCAACATATATATATATATATATATATATATATATATATATATATATATATATATACAT